TCCCGGTTTAATGTCATCTGCAAACTTGCTGAGGGTGCAGTTCATGCCATCCTCCAGATCATTAATGAAGATATTGAACAAAACCGGCCCAAGGACCGACCCTTGGGGCACTCCACTTGATACCGGCAGCCAACTACACATGGAGCCATTGATCACTACCCGTTGAGCCCGACAATCTAGCCAGCTTTCTATCCACCTTATAGGAAGTGTGGCAAGAGACCATCCTGGCTTAACCAGGAGATCTTCAATGATCTGAAACTCAAAAAAGAGTCCTACAAAAAGTGGAAACTAGGTCAAACTACAAAGAATGAATATAAACAAATGACACAAGTATGTAGGGACAAAATTAGAAAGGCCAAGGCACAAAACAAGATGAAACTAGCTAGATACATAAAGGGTAACAAGAAAACATTCTACAAATACATTAGAAGCAAGAGGAAGGCCAAGGATTGGGTAGGTCCGTTACTCAATAAGGGGCGAAAACAACAACAGAAAATGTGGAAATGGCAGAGGTGCTTAATGACTTCTTTGTTTTGGTTTTCACCAAGAATGTTGGTGGTGATTGACATCTAACATAGTGAATGCCAGTGAAAATGAGTTAGGATCAGCTGACTGAGGAGATTTCCGAGCTATTAGTGATTATCTGTGAAAAGTCATGGAAGACAGGAGAGATTCCAGAAGATAGAAAAGGGCAAATATAGTGCCAATCTATAAAAAAGGAAATAAGGGCAATCCTGGAAATTACAGGCCAGTCAGCTTAACTTCTGTACCCGGAAAGATAATGGAGCAAGTAATAAAGCAATCAGTTTGCAAACATCTAGAAGATAATAAGGTGATAAGTAACAGTCAGCATGGATTTGTCAAGAACAAATTGTGTCAAACCAACCTGATAGCTTTCTTTGACAGGGTAACAAGCCTTGTGGATGTGGGGGGTGGGAAGTGGTAGACATGGTATATCTTGACTTTATATTAAAGTTTTGATACTGTCTCGCATGACCTTCTCATAAACAAACTAGGGAAATGCAACCTAGATGGAGCTATTATAAGGTGGGTGCAAAACTGGTCGGAAAATCGTTCCCCGAGAGTAGTTATCAGTGGTTCAGAGTCATGCTGGAAGGCTATAACGAGTGGGGTCCCAAAGGGATCAGTTCTGGATCTGGTTCTGTTCAATATTTTCATCAATGATTTAGATAATGGCTTAGAGAGTACACTTATAAAGTTTGCGGACGATACTAAACTGTGAGGGGTTGCAAGTGCTTTTGAGGATAGGATTATAATTCAAAATGATCTGGAGAAATGGTCTGAAGTAAATAGGATGAAATTCAATAAGCACAAATGCAAAGTACTCCACTTTGCATTTGGATGGAACAATCAGTTGCACACATACAAAATGGGATATGACTGCCTAGAAAGGAGTACTGCGGAAAGGAATCTGAGGGTCATAGTGGACCACAAGCTAAATATGAGTCAACAGTGTAACATTGTTGCAAAAACCCAAACATCATTCTGGGATGTATTAGCAGGAGTGTTGTAAGCAAGACACAAGAAGTAATTCTTCTGCTCTACTCCGCCACGATTAGGCCTCAACTGGAGTATTGTGTCCAGTATTGTGTGTTCTGGGCGCCACATTTCAGGAAAGATGTGGACAAATTGGAGAAAGTCCAGAGAAGAGCAACAAAAATGATTAAGGGTCTAGAAAACATGACCTATGAGGGCAGATTGAAAAAATTGGGTTTGTTTAGGCTGGAAATGAGAAGACTGAGAGGGGACGTGATAACGGTTTTCAAGTACATAAATGGTTGTTACAAGGAGGAGGGAGAAAAATTTCTTCTTAACTGCTGAGGATAGGACAAGAAGCAACGGGCTTAAATTGCAGCAAGGGAGGTTTAGATTGGACATTAGGAAAAACTTCCTAACTGTCAGTGCTGGAATAAATTACCTAGGGAGGTTGTGGAATCTCCATCATTGGTAATTTTTAAGAGAAGGTTAGATAAACACCTGTCAGGAATTGTCTAGATCAGTGCCACTGGGAACTGCAGGCGGCCATGCCTGCGGATGGTCAATGTAAACAAACTATCTCGCGGCCCGCCAGCGGATTACCCTGACGGGCCGCAGGTTGCCCGCCACTGGTCTAGATAATACTTAGTCCTGCCATGACTGCAGGGGACTGGACTAGATGACCTCTCAAGGTCCCTTCCAATTCTATGAGTTTATGATTGCTGATATAGCTGCTCTGGGATACCTGTAGTGAGCCCCCTCGAGAGGCTCATGTCCTCTTTGTGGCTCCTTTACCACCACAGAGGGGCCACAGCCCAACTAATTCTCCCCTCTCTGTGCAGCATTAATGCTGAGCTCTTATTTATTTTTATTTATTCATTTATTTAAACAATAATACAAAAATCCTCATATGAAAGATCTAGGTACCCTAAGAGTTAGACTTACACCACTTAAAAAAAACCCCACCCATCAGGGGAAAAAAAATCTTATACAGTTAACAAGTTAGCTCAGCCATTAAATCAAAGAATAAAAAAACACTTTCACTCACCACCCCCAAAGCCTACCGTTCAGCCTTCCCCAGAACTTTATTTACTGAATGCCTTTGTTTTTCCGTTTTCCATCTAAATCAGTACAGCTTTCTTCAGAGCTAAAATTCTTGGAGGGGAAATATCTGTAGAAATCTGGAATTATTATGTAAACTTAATTAGAACCCACAGATTATTTTAACTGCAGCGAAAAAAGCTTGGAAACCTTGTGTTTGAAAAATATTTCTGTAAAATAGCACAGAATGAACCCATGATCTCAGAGAAGGGGACAGAAGATACAAGACTATAGGTCTCTGTGATTTCTGTCCTGGTTTGGCATCCCTTATTTTGTTTTCCCAGACATCACTGAGCCAATCAGTATCTGATTTAAAAAACAAGTTCCTTTTCTGAGTCCCAGAGTTTGGCTGGGAAGATTATTGCTGCTTCACTGTCCCCTTCTTCAAAAGCTTTTGTATTAGGAACATCTTTCCTTTTAGCCTATGTTCCTGCTCTTAAGGCTGGGAAACACCAAATTTTGTAGGTTTTCTTATGGAATATCTTTCATTTTCTTAGCACCTGCCCAGAATCATAGAATCATAGAATCATAGAATATAAGGGTTGGAAGGGACCCCAGAAGGTCATCTAGTCCAACCCCCTGCTCGAAGCAGGACCAATTCCCAGTTAAATCATCCCAGCCAGGGCTTTGTCAAGCCTGACCTTAAAAACCTCTAAGGAAGGAGATTCTACCACCTCCCTAGGTAACGCATTCCAGTGTTTCACCACCCTCTTCATGAAAAAGTTTTTCCTAATATCCAATCTAAACCTCCCCCACTGCAGCTTGAGACCATTACTCCTCGTTCTGTCATCTGATACCATTGAGAACGTCTCATTGAGAATGTCTCTTTATTACGCATTTCTGTGACAGTAAATATCATAGTTCTTCCTGTGGTTTGTCAGAGTTCTCAGATTCTGCTCACCTTTTTAATCTGTACTCTTTCTATAGGTATGTCAAGGGAAAAATCTTGCCTTAACAGTAACTATGGAGCACAGTTCTCTAGATCACTGGCTTATCTGCTATATGAGGGCGTAGGGGTCTACTTTTTCAAGAATGCTATAAGGTTGGTTGCTCCTTCAGTCCTAAGAAGCACAACCAATTGCACGGCTCTTACTTGAGTTTCCAGAATCTCTATGAAATTTTTTTTTAAGGCTGCAAGAAATCTGCTGATTTGCTGGATTTCTCTTTCACACATTTTAGTGAAAAATTCTGCTCCTGCTGTATTGTGGTCCTAACTTTATCAAAATGGCTCTCTTAGACCTTGTCTATACTGTGAAATTTTACCTTGTCTGAACTAGGATTACCATATGTCCGAATTTTCCCGGCTATATCCGACTTTTTGGTTCTTAAATCGCTGTCCGAGACGAATTTTTAAATATCTAAAAACGTCCAGGATTTTTCCATTATTATTTTTCCCCAAAGAAGAGTTGATCATTCAAGAAAGAAGGTGAATGTGGATCACTCGAGAGTGCCTGCTTTTTCCCCCTAGCTCCAGCACTTGCGCTGCGAAATAGCTGTTTCACGTGGCTGGGAGGGAAGGGGGAGGAGGGGGAATGCAGCATGCTCAGGGGAGGAGGCGGGGCCGGGGGGGGGATTTGGGGAAGGGGTCCAATGGGGCAGGGAGGAGGCGGGGTTGGGGCAGGGACATTGGGGAAGGGGTGGTTGGAATGGGGGCGGCACGAGCAAATTCCCTCCCTCCATCCCCTCCCATGGAGTGTCCTCTTTTTTGAATGTTCAAATATGGTAACCCTAGTTTGAATCCTAGTTCAAATATGGTAACACCTAGTTAGGTGTTAACACTGTTTAATGGACAGTGTTGACCAGAACTTTACGTACTCAGTTTCATGTCAGCTGTGATTTAAACTCCAAAGTTGAATGTTCCATCACAGTTAGCTGATACTTACACCAAACATAGACTGTTCTGATCTACATAGATTCATAGAGTTTAAATCGCTAGCTCATCTAGTCTGATAGCACAGGCCATTAAATTTTACCTTTTCCCCTGGATTGAGCCTAATAGCTTGTGTCTGCCTAAATCATGCATTCCAAAAAAGGACCTGTTTTGATTTGAAAACATCAAGAGATGGAGAAGTCACCACTTCCTTGGTAATTTGTTCCCTCACTGTTAGAACATTGTGCCTAGTTTCTCATTTGAATTTGTTTTGGCTTCAGCTTCTAGCTGAACAATGGGTTCTTGTTAGGCCCAGATTATAAAAAAAAACCCTAATGCCCAATATTTTATACCCATTAAAGTACTTGTACAAGGTAATCAAGTCACCTCTCTGTCTTCTTTCTGATAAACTAAACAGATGGATCACTAAGTCTATCACTGTAAAGCATTTTCTCCAGCACCTTGAATCATTTTTGTGGCTCTTTTCTGAACCCTCTTCAATTTTTCAACTCCTTTTTTTTTTTAAATGCAGGCACCAGAACTGGATGCAGTAGCCCATTATCAGTCTCACCAATGCTGGATTTCACCTCTGAGCAGAGGTAAAATCACCTCCATACTCCTACTCATTATATCCTGTTTATACATCCATAGCTCACATTAGCCCTTTTTGCCACAGCATTGCACTGGGTGCTCATGTTGAGTTGCTTATCCACTATGGCCCTGTAATGTCACTATAGTGCATCCAGCTTTGTGTCATCTAACATGATTTTTGGTAACCATGTGCGGACATGGTTAAAAAGTAATAATGGCCAGACTTAAATTTATCTATGTGTAACCATATTGTACATGTAGAACTGCAAGGCAGTCACTCCTGGAGCTTGCAATGATTTCAGATAAGAGGCTCTTTAACAGATTCAGTGTCCTATTGCTCTGCCTTCGTATTCTGCTCTTTATTACTTTTGTGACACAAATGGCAGCTCTAGGGTTTTCCCATCACGTGCTGTAGTCTTTTAAAAAAATCTTGTTTCTGCTATGCTCTTTGTGTTAGACATTTTTTCTTTTAAATTATATTAAGACAGTATTTGCATTTAAAATTGTTAGCTTTTCAGTTCCGTAGGTGTATTATTTCCCGTATGGTGTGAGAGCTCTTAAGAGATGTTTTGCCTTCCTACGCACTTTTTGAAGAGTTTATATGAAAAGGAACTCAATAAAATATCTTCCTTGTAAGAATTTTTATCCCCATTAACATGGTATTTAGGAAAGCCTGTATTTTTTATGGCCACTATGAATGGTCAATATTTTTTTTCTTTCATAGTGCAGCCATATTAGTGATTCCATAGTTACCTTTTTGACAATATTTCTATTATAAGACCAGTTTTTGCCATAACCCCTACCCTTTCCTCTTGAATTTCTGAGGAAGCGCTCCTAGCTATATGAAATTTATCATGTGTTGTCTTCTAGTCAGAGGAGAATTTTTTATGAAAGTTTATTTTCTTTATTAAGGTTGTATGGAAAAAATGAGTTGTTAGATGAAAGAATGCATTTCTATTAAGAGCTCTGAAAATATAAAACTGGGAGAGGTCATGAAGAAGCTTTATAAGCAACTTGAGAGAGGATACGATGCTGTGAACTCTATGAAACACATCCTGTAGTAAGGGCAAATTAGTAAATTTCCATTATAAGGCCAATTTTGAGCACCCCCAATTTTCAAAAAAAAAAAAAGCTCCTTTCATTCTGAAATTTCTCATGGGTCTGTCACTAGAGGACAAATTGTTTTTTTTCCCCAAAAGTTTGAGGTTAATCAAACAAACAATTTTTTAGGATATAAACTTAAAAACAATAGTTGTTTTTCTTTTTTTGTTTGTTTGTTTAAGTGGTTTGCATGGACAACATCAAGTTTGTTTATACAATAGCCCTCAATAAGCACTAATGCATAGGACTACTTTTAATAAGTCTGAATGGAAAATTCAGGAGTTATAAGTTAGAGGCTAGAGTTGAACTTCACAGAGAGGTTTGCAAATATTATAATTTCTCTGAGAGGACTAATACAAGTTAGGAATAACAATGGAGCATATCTGCAGAGCTTGTTGGTTCCATGAGAAGCAGATCATGGAACTTACAAGACCGACTACTGTAGTTAGTGTAGCTCACAAGTTCCATGAAAGACTGACAGTTGTACAATGGCCTAGCACCCTTTAGCTCTCCCTATGGCCACACTGGCTTTCATTAGCTTTCCTGCAAAACAGCTTGGGGAAGGAGATCTGCAAAGCTCTTTGCCCTACATCAGCCTTTCAAGCAGTCACTTTGCTCCTGACTCACCCTTCTCTTAGATTAGAGTCAGGTTCCTTCACTCCAAAGAGTCCATATACTGGCTATTCTCAATTTAATGGTCTCCTTAAGTCTAGTTTTCTTAAATAAATACGAGGGACAGATTCTCTCCTCCAGTTCAGGACACTTTGGGTTGTTTAGGTGGCCAGAATCTGGCCCAAACTATCTAACTGAGAATTCCCCCAGCCTAGAACAGCATTCAGCTGGTGTAAAGCTGGCATAGCAAGATGCTATGCCAATCACTCACTGTTCCCCATCCTGGCATTAAAGATATGTTGGAGCGGGGTAGACAGCATGTACACTCTTCCAAGTCTCTGTATGGTCCATTGTGGACCACAGCTAGCCAATGTAAAATAGAGCAGCTTAAGAAGCGCAAATGCTGTTCTGATTTATTCTGGGGATAGGCTGAAGCTGATTCGGGTTGTGAATCAGAAAACTGTAACCAGCTCCTTGGCATAGAGTGGATCTTGATGTAAGAGATAATCTGAATTATTTGTGTTCATTGGCACAGCTCAAAAAGTAGAGAAAAGAAAAGGTAATTGGAAACATTCATCTAGTTGGATGTTATGAAAGAACAGCTATGTGGGTTCAGTACAAAGAAATATTACCCATAATATGTTCTTATAGCATCTCTCTCTTAGAACAAGGCCTCTCCCTCTGTCAAAAACTCCCTCTTGCAGTCTAAGTGTCTTTAATCAAGGTATCTTATCTCTGTTTGCTAGACTGATGGGTACACATGCAGGATGATGCAAGTGTATCACTGCCAAGCATGTGGATTCAGTTCATGGTTGTTGGCAGTTCCAGTGTCCATTAACATGCTGTCATTACATCACCCTAGGCCAAACCCAACCTAATAAATACTGGTTTGAGTCCATTTAATATAATTCCTATATTAGAGGCCCCAGCCTACTACTGAGATAGGCCTACTACTCCTGTATCAGCCCATAGATACCAAAATACTTCTAAACAACTTTCTTTCTTTTCCAGCACCTATTGCATTTGAAAGCTTTGACCAAACTAATCCAAAAGTGCTAAAAACACATTTGATTGAAGCCAAGGTGATCTTTTAAAAGTTGACAAAATTGTGAACTCAGCTATCTTCTATTATTTCCATAATTCTTGGTGATTTTGTTGAAATGAAAAACCCTCCTTCATCACTTATGATGTGACATAAAAAGTTGGATTTCAAAACTATATGCTGGAAGACAAGGATAGAATACAGTTTTACATTCCATCAGCTTTTCAGCTTCCTCTTGTTCTATGCTCGACCTATGATTTTGGGATCCCTCATGCTGGCTAAGGGAAAAGTTCTATAACTTCTCTGAATTGTTTTCCAATTTTATCTTTGTGTGATTCCAAGTTTGTTTTTAATTAGACCAGATTTCCACTGCAACAGCTGTCATCAGCCTAATCTGTCAAGTCCATCCAAAATCTCTTACTTAAGTTTTTAGTTTAGTGTGTCCTTTATTATGTAAAATGTATGCTATGATTGATTGAAATCCTCCTCATGCTCAGTACAAATTTCAGTATACTGATAGTCATTCAATTAAAATAAATCTAGAGACAATTTTTCTGAAAGTTTCACCGAGTGTCATTGGGAAGTTGGGGCATCAATCCTTTCAGTTTAGTGACTGAAGATTTTAGTTTTTTTAAACTCTCACAATGTTTGCTAGGACTGTTAGGTTCCTCTTTCTTAACAAGGTTTCAATGGTGAGCTGAACATCCCAGCTAAACGTGTGTGAATATGTGAAAGGTTTAGGGCTCAGCAAGCGACAATAGACTTCTGTCATAATTTTCTCTGAATGGCATCTTCTACAACTTGGACACAATATTTGGTTGTTTTCTTTTTGGATGTTGTATCAAGCAGGAACACATTTTTCCATATGTAGATGCTTGTAACCATTATCTAGTCACTTCTCAAACTCAACCCATAATCATGCATCAAAGTCAATATTAATTATTTTAGTTCTTCCTTTAACTTCCCCTCTCTTTATTTACTTGCAACTAGTAGTAGACTTGTGACTGTAAAGCTTTTTTGAAGGAGTCTGTTGTGATGAATCTACTAAGCAGTAATAGTGTGAGGAATCTGCTAAGGGTCAATCTTTGACTGCTTTTTCCATCCCGCTGAGGGCAGATGTAGGTCAAGAGGATGGGAAGTTAGGAGGAATGGATCACAAAGGCAGGGAGTCTGATATCAGATTGTGATACTGAAGGCAATTAGTAGTGTGTGTACTGGGACCCAGCAAGGTGTTAAGGCCATTGCATCCTTAGCAACTCAGGAACCTACAATGCATGCCTGAGCCAAGGTGCCGAAGGGCTGATGCCCCAGAGGTCTGCAGGGACCTATAAAGGGGTAGTATTGACAATGCATATCCAGGGTAAAATGCTCCACTCATTTATTTAGATTGTTCATTGTACTCCATTGACAGTTATGTTGTTAGCTTAAAAAAATCTGAAAACCTTCTTACATTCAAGACTATGCTTTTCAGAGTTTTTTAACAGCATAATTGCTGTATGATCTTTGCCATATTTAGGGTGTAACTTGATTTAGCATCATGGCTATGTTGGGATGGGTTAGAAAGCAAAACAACTACCTAGTGAATTTAATATTGTGAAGACTGAAGAGTATATAGAAGCATGTTATCAAATGCCCTGCTCACAATGAATTACGAATGTCTCAACGTATCTTATATTTATTCATCAATGTCACCTCTCCGGTGTGGAGAAAACCTGGGGAGAAACAGCAGAAGCCCAGGTCCACTGGGGTCTGTTGCTGTTCCCCAGATTTCTCAATAGATGAAGAGGATCAGAGCAAATCTTCATTTCCACTCCAGGTTACAAAGATGTGTAATAGATCAGCTGCTGCTTAGGGTAGTGAAGGGGAGCATCTAGTGTGTTGTTGAGCAGAGAGGGAAGAAGAAAAAATCTGCTTCTCTCCAGTGCCCAGGGATTTGGGGATCAGCAGAAGCTCCTCTTCTTTAATTAAAACTACAGAGAAGATGAGTTGCTTAGCTAAACTTCAGAAGGCAATAAAGTCCAGTCTAACTGGTTCAACTCTGGATTTAAGGAATCTGCAAACTATGTTCATAAAGTCCATGAGCCTGGCCAATTCAGCTCTAGACTTCAAAATATCCATACTAGAAATGCAGAGATTCTGAAATCTGTAAATTCTATCAAAATGTACAAGTTACATTAAAACTTTGTGGAGTTCTCACAGGTGCAAATAATTCTAATATTAATCTCCCATCTTTCTAAGAAGCCTTCAAAGGCAACACAAATCCTTGGTGAGGACAGAATAAAATGAAAGCCCAGTCCTTCAAGCCCTTATGAACATGATAGTCTTTATTAACACACATCTTGTTAAAATAAATGAGACTAGTCATGTAAACAAGGATTATCCATGCCAGCCTGGGTTTGCCAGCTGCAGCCTCACATTTGGAGTTTCCAGACAAAGTGGTGTTTGAGTTATGATATTTTCAAGAAAGAAAGTCAAAGTAAGTTAGGCTTGTCTAACATTAAAATAGTTTTCAAACTCATGTTTCCAAAATGCCTTGTTTGAGTTACCTCAAATTTTACTAAATCCATAAATAAATAATCCCTACTGGCAAGAAACCATACGGAACATTTTGGGCAGAAATTAGTGTGTATGATTGAGGAAGTAGAAAGTGGTCAAGTTAAAATTATAATAAATAGTTAGTTACAAATTATGGAGACAGTACTGCAGCTCCATATCATGTGAAATTAAACACAGACAATTTATTGACAATATGATCATTATCAGTGATTGGAACTTAAACAAAACCTAGGAAAATCCTTTTTTAAAAAAGTCTCGGTTAAGCTGTTACTAAAATTCTACATTTATATAACAAAGATTTTAAAAAAACTCCTTGGTTGTGGTACTGTTATTCGGAAATCTAATCTAACTTTCAACCATGGCCCACAGACCTCCAGTTTCCCAGTGAAAACTTCGTGTACTGACCTATATACTGTGAACCTACCCACTTCTTATTCTTATGAGCAAGAGGCCTAAACCCTCCCAGAATGAGCTGGAGACTATAACACTTCATGTATCCATATATGGGACTACACAGCAACCCAGATCAGTCAGTGACACATTTGTCAGTTTACTTTTTTTTGTTTGTTTTCATAACTGTATCAAGCAATTCTCTAGTATGTATTTTGTAACAACTGTGGTTTGCATTAACCTCATTTTAGTCAATTTCATAATCAAATTTCAGGATGCAATATCCACCATTAAAGAACATTCAATTATACTCGTACAAAACTCCTCTGGAATAAACTCTAATAACCATAAACTGAAGATTTTGTTTTAAACTGATCAACTTTTTTACATTTTCTTTTAAACAGGAACGAGAAATGCATAGAATCCTGTAAGAAACAGTGAACTGAAGAAACCACCTTGAATCTCAAGGAGCCTATAATTCCAAGGAAATCTTGACTGGTTTAAAAACTGTTCATAACTGCAGTTAGTTTCTCCCATTAAACTAGTTGCTTAAGGTAAATAAATTATGGACATAACTATATTTAAGACTCTAATCTTAAAGGATCAAATTTCCTCAGCACAGTCAATTGAAAAAACAACACAAAAGGATGCCACCGAGCACGACAGCTTCCGAGGGTGGGGCAATAATCGCAGAATACAATCACACATCCGTGTATTTAGTTGACTCTGTTGCTGCAAATTTCAGAGCTGAAAGTCCGAGGAAAATCTTTAGCTCCTCTTTGAGCTGAAATAAAACAGTGCAATTAGTCAAACTGATTTTGGGAGACCCATGTAGGCTGAGATGAACATCTAGGTAAATCAAAACTGTTAAAACTGAATGATCTTTGACTTGTTAAAGAACATATACCCCTTACTCTGAAGAAGAAGAAAAAATAGGAAAAAAGCTCATAGAAAGCTAAATTGCGGGAGGAAAAAAAATCAAAATCCTCCAAGGTACAGGCAGTGAGATACTTTATTACTTTTCATTGATCTGTCAATGCCACTCACGGAAAGTCTGACCAATCAAGCAAACACATTATGGTTATAGATATCTATACAATGTTGAAATTAGTCAAGTTCAAAAGTTCAGCAGCGAGTGGCTGCAGGGACGGCTGCCGCCACACCCCTTTCTGCTGTCAGCATGTGAGAGGAGTCCAGGCTTGGAAACAAGGCTGAAATTGACCATGTGCCAAGAAGGAGAGTTGAGCAAGAAAAACCCACAGTAACATTCAACCTTAAACCACAAAGGGAAAAAAAGTAAAAAGGGAGAGGGGAGAAGCGGAAGGCGAAGGGGTGGCTGACTGTGCGGCTGGGAGTGTGTGTGTGTGGGGGGGGGGGGGGGGGGATATTAGCCGGGACCAGCCTCTGCTAGAGCCATGGAGAGCCCAGTCCTATCCTGTGTCCTTTATCCAGGTGATGGGAATATCAGTGAGGCAAAGACCTGTCCAAAGAGGCTCTGCGGAGAAGCGGAGCAGCAGCTAGGGCCACCGGGAAAAGCTCTGGGGGAAGCGGAGAGCAGCAACGGCGGCCAGCCGCAGCCCGGCTCCGTGGAAGGGAGCGCAGCAGCGGGGGAAGAGGAGCGCGGGGGTGGGGAAAGCGGCGCGCTCCCTTTGCAAGCCCCCTGCGGTTTCAGCTCCTCCTTGTGCTTCAGCTCGCCCGGGGCGGGGGACAAAGCCCCGCAGCAGGATCCCGGAGCAGCCGCCTCCTGCAGCCGGGTGGTGAAGAGCCAGTGGGAGATTAACAACGCGGCGTCCGAGTCCGAGGAGGAGGAGGGGGGGGAAGCGGGAGGAGGCGACATCGCCCGGCCGCCGCCTGGCACTTACTGTCCCCAGGCTGGAGCGCAGCCCAGGAGCCCGCAGCAGCCGGTCTCGGAGGAGCCGGACCTGGTGATCGAGGTGTCCGGCCGGCGGATCCGAGCCCACAAGTCGGTGCTGGCGGCCAAGAGCGACTATTTCCGCGCGCGCTCGTCCCGGGACATCCTGCGGGTGAAGGGGGTGAGCTACGGGGCGCTGCGCCTGCTCATCGACTACGTCTACACGGCCCGCATGGGCGAGGTGCGCCACGACAACCTGGCCGAGGTGGTGAGCGGCGCCCGCGTGCTGCAGATGCCCTGCGCCCTGCACTGCGCGGCCGAGGCCATGCGGGCCCAGCTGCGCCTCGACAACTGCTACCAGCTGCTGTGCCTGGCCAAGAAGCAGCGGCTGGCGGAGCTGCGGGAGGCCGCCTACCGCTTCATGAGCGACCACTACCTGCAGGTGCTGCGGGAGCCCGCCGTCTACGGGCGCCTGAGCGGCGCCGAGCGGGACCTCATCCTGCAGCGCCGCCTGGAGGCCGGCAAGCGGAGCCTGCTGGTGGCCGAGGTCAGCGACGCCTTCGAGAGGCTGAGCGCGGGCAGCAGGCCGCAGAGCCGGGAGAGCAGCCGGCCGCAGAGCCCCTCCTCCGTGGTGTCGCTGGAGGAGAGCAGCTACCTGATCTACTGCTACCAGGAGGCGGCCAAGGAGTGGAGGGTGCTGACCCGCCTGCCCGAGGAGGCCAACGCGAAGGGCTGCGCCATGTGCGTCCTCTACAACTACCTCTTCCTGGCTGGGGGCATCGCGGCGGCCCCGGGCGAGCAGCGCGCCCGCCTCTCCGACAAGGTCTTCTGCTACAACCCGCTCACCGACACGTGGAGCCAGGTGCGGCCGCTGGGCCAGCCCCGCTCGCAGCTCAAGCTGCTGGCCTTGGACGGCTACCTCTACGCCGTGGGGGGCGAGTGCCTCTTCACGGTGGAAAGGTACGACCCGCGGGCCGACCGCTGGAGCCCGGTGGCCCCGCTGCCCAAGGGCGCCTTCGCCGTGGCGCACGAAGCCACCACCTGCAACGGGGAGATCTACGTGTCCGGCGGCTCCCTCTTCTACCGCCTGCTCAAGTACGACCCCCGGCGGGACGAGTGGCAGGAGTGCCCCTACAACAGCAGCCGCCGCCGCTCCGCCGACATGGTGGCCTTCAAGAGCTTCATCTACCGCTTTGACCTGAGCGGCAGCCGCGGCGAACAGGGGCAGGCCGGCGGGGTCGAGGTCTTCCGCTACAACACCGTGGCCAAGCGCTGGAGCCAGTGCGCCTCCCTGAGGCCCAGCAGCGGCCCCCTGCAGCCCTTCCGCTGCGCCGCCCTGGGCAGCACCATCTACTGTGTCAACCGGGCCGGCACCCTACGTTTCAACCTGGCCCAGGACGGCGAGGTGGAGGCCGACGGGGGGCTGCCGGGCAGCTTCGATGCAGAGCTGCTGAAGGCCCCCTTCGAGGCCAAAGGTGTCCTCCTGCCCTTCGTGCTCACCCTGCCAGAGAAGCCAGACAAAGCTGGGGAGCCGGAGAGCCCCGTGGTGTTCTGAGTGGGCCTGGCGTGAGGGCAGCCAGATCAACTGCGGGAAGGGGCTGTGCTTGGTTTCCGCGTGGTGCCCTGATCAGCTGGTTTGGGGCCTCTCCACTACTGCACAGCAAACATCCAGCCAGGGGCCCGCACCAGCTGGCAGGATTAGAGGGAGCTGGGCTTGCCCCTAGCTCAGCAGCCTGCCCGACAGCCACAGCCCCTGACTAGGGGCACCTTCAGAAGGTATGCATGCATTAGAGGGCTGGGGTGCCCCTCTTGAAATGTTGATCTAGGGCCGGTGCTGGTTATAACCACTCTAATCTTTACTTTGCTTCATGCGGGAAGAATTCACTCCTTGGCGCTGGTGAGCAGCCAAGCAAATTAAAGAAAAGCTGCTAAAATAGGATAATCTTTGGGATAATGTGGGCCAGTTCCCAATCTGGAGAAGACCTTTTCTCCTGGAGTTATATAAATCCCTGAAAACAGAAGCTTATAATGGAATATTTAATAATAGTGTTGCTCTTGTGTATATATACACAAGAGGGGCTGCTTCTTCTGCCTTTCGTTTTCTTCTCTCCTTTGGATATCAGTTGTGAATACTGCTGGCTACATAAAGGAATCCAATTTACTCAACAGTTCATATGTTAGAAAAGTGTAAGGAGATCATCTGAATTGCATTCTTTCATTTTTGGTTCAATAGATTCTTTAAGGAAGACATGGCACTGTAGCCCCAAGAATCCGCATGATTTAACAGAGACCAGATTTAAAGTTTTTAAGCAACACAAATGCCTGCCACATGTTCAGATTTGGAATACAGAGGAAAAGTCAGTTTACCATAGCACAGCAGAATTGTGGCTGAAAGAAATGATAATTTCTGTAAAAGACAATGCTTTACTTTTTTATCAGAAGTGTTAAATCATAGTAAACAGGAAGCAAAGCTGTTCAGTTCATGGCAGATTGAAATGACTGTGGATGCCACTGAGTGTTGGGGGAAACATTTTGTATTTCACTGCTCTTTAATTACCTGAAAATCAATGAAAATGAACCTAAACCAAATGTGAATTCGTTGAAACTGATTGCATTCAGTTTACATATTACACTTTATGTCCAGTAGCCTGTGGTAGGAGACTATACCAGCATAGAACAAGGCTATCATGGGAGAACAAGAAAAACAAGAGTTTGCTACAGTTTGATTATACTTACGTACTAGCATAATGTTAAGATTTCCCTATCTTTTAATTGAGAGGCTGATTTATTTATTTGAGGTAAATGAGTGTTGTAATTAATAATTCACTTGTCAATTATAGTTCTTACTGATGCCATATAGTTTCATTTGGATTCTGAATCTTTTGAGAATAATTGTTTAGGAAGCAGCATATAGAGAGAAGAAAAATGATATAATGGGAAGTTGAAGCATACTTTTTATCATGTTATTCAGAAAAAAAGTGTAGACCTTCTGGACAGGCATGCTGTATTAAAAAGCGCATTTGCATTTATTTTATACATTTTATATGTAGACATCCAATAGAAGGATACAGCAAATCTGTTTAGCTTTACAGTAATTAATGAGAAACCATTTTCTTAAAATAGACCCAGTGTTTTTGCTGTTGTTAATTCAGCCTGGAATTGTCACTTGATAATGGAAAAAAATTGTTTATGAGTATTCATCATTCTACAAAGACATAGCAACTTCACATCAAAGAACTGCAGTAGAAGAATCTTTGTTTTATTAAAATATCTTATTTTTAGCAGTGTGCTAACAGTAAAGTTCTTATATCTCATTGCTAATTCTAAAGAAAGGCAGCAGATTCTACCATGAGACATCATTTTGACAGACAGAAGCCACAGAGTTTATCTTTATGATTTATTTGATCTTTTATATAGTTGATCTGATTAGAATACTATTTAGAAACCAGTGGTGCAATCATGAAGCCTTTAGTCAAATAATCTCCCCCAGTGAATTCACTATAAGTGTTGTCTGAACAAGGACTTTCTGACTGGGCTATATACATTTTAGCCTAGTCAGCATGCTAGTTGGTTAAATAGGATTTAACACTGCCGTTAGAATTTATGTTGTGCGTACATGTAAAAGTTAGATATTGATCTTTTACTTCCTGATACATTTAACAGATTAGTTAATTCCTCAGCTGGACAAATACAATTTTGCATTTTGCTCCTAATTATATTATTGCCTTCTAAGTATCAGAAGAGCTGTGAGGCTAACGAAAAAATGATTTGTGTGCATTAGAATTATTTTTCATATCATTGTAGCACAGGTAATGCTTATGGTTCTGTAAGTGCAAACCCTTCTGCACGTGCTTAAAGCTAAGCAGCGTGCAAATATTGCTGAAACAGAGCCTGAACCAGGATAAGGACCAAATGCACATATTGAAATGTCAGTTTTATCTCATAGTACAATTATACAAATGTTTATGTATTTGAATACCTTATCTAGTACAGTATTTATACTACATTTCTAGTGAGGAAGCTAATCAGGTTTGTAATTTTTTTCCCCTTTGCATTTTAATTTGGTGGTATTTCATGAAAATGCTGCTTGATTAGTTTTGGGAAACCACTGTGACCTTAAATGTATAAAGATATTCCACAAACATCCAGCAAAGGTTTGAAATTTACCTTTATCATAATTAAGATATTTGTTGCTGTCTATAACTAGAAAACATGTTTGCAAATACATTTTACAACAAAACCAACCAAAAATAAACAAACAAGATTAAATCAAAAGTGCTACAGACACCATGAAGACATTTTCGCTATTTCATTCAGATTAAGAATGATAGTATTGGGCCAAAATGTTCTCTCACTATTTACCCTGTGAAAGTGAGAGCACAATCTGGTTTTAATTAGTAGTAGTCAGTCAAATAGAATTTCCTTTATACCCTAGTTGCATAATCACAGCCAGATGACTGATTTTTCTGGTAACTTAAAGACATTTCTAGCTGGTTTCCTATTCTCTGACCCATGTTTCCGAAGTAGATCTGTGATTTTTCCCCCCATTATATATTCAGTACTAAATTCAGTTATGAATGTACCAAGTGAAATGAAATGCAAGCCTTACTAGCAAAGTTAGCAACAGACGGAGAGCTACTAAGCAATGACATGAGAAAGAACCTTAATTCCTGCAACACAGTTTATAAAACTCCTGTTTATACCTTGAAACCAGTTAAAAGGAGTAATTGTCAAAAGAATATCCCTATTTGCTCAACACAAGAATTGCTAAACAATATGCTAATCATAGCTGTTTAATCAATAAATCTGTTGTGCAGTAGCTAATGTGAATTCCATGCACAATGAAATCCCTTGTAAATAAACAGCTGATAGAATTTCAACTGCAAAAAGAATAAATTATTCACATGAAAGCTGTACTTCTCCTGTGCTGTTTGGTTAGGTATCAAAGTGGTTGCTCTCAGTACCTTTGGTTATTTATTGTTCATGAGTAGCTTATTGCTTTTCATGCTTTAACAGCATTGATTCCAGTGACTGCTCCACAGATTCTTTCCATTTTACAAGCACAGAGCTTAAACTGTGTTGATTTGCTTTGTGTCTCTGTAGTGACACCTAGCATTTGTTACTTGAACAAACACCAGAAGTTCTATAGTGAGTTTTTTCTTTCTTAGTTTCAGTTTTTCTCAATGACATTGATTTTGGTACAGTTATTAAAGCATAAGAAAAGAGGAGAAACTCTTACTTAATATCCTATCCGAAAGGTACCATTAAAGTAACTGTAGTGAGTCATTTAATGAATCTGTCTGTAAGGGATAATATCCTGCCTTTGTTCTGTGCACTGAGCTCACAGTGGATTGAAAGGCCTTTTATGTGTGGTGTGATAGCAGAATGTAGATCTAAGTAATTTCTAAGAAAAGTACCTTTTAATCTAAGGCTGGGCAGATCCTGTTGCATGATACCCAAAAGTAGGAGGCTAGGGTCGTATGTACACTTAGAGGGCCAAATTCTGCTCTCAGTTAAATCAGTGTAAATATAGAATAATTCCACTAATTTACACCAGTACGACTGAGAACAGAATTTGGCCCACAAACTGTTTGAGTCACATTCTGCACTCAGAAATGTCCAATCCCACTGATGTCACACCATTCATTTTGGCCTAAAAAAAGTGTTGTCGTAGGAGCCGCTAGAGTAAATTTACCAGAATTAGGAATCAGTATTCTATTTTGTGTTTTAGAGGCACTCTCAGTTTCACTAGTTACCAGCATTTATCCAGCGGATAGGAGAAAATGTGAATTTGTCTTCTGTTCTGTTTGTTTATTTTGAATTACCATATATTTAGCCAAAGCAAACAAAATAATGGTTGGGGGAGAGCAATGGGGGAGCCAAAAGTAGTATTTTAGCCAGTGTAGAATACATGGCCAGTCGTCTTAAAATAGTTTAGTAAACACATTTTCCTATTTATATTTTTTCCATAACTGGAGCACATTTCAAACAAATACAGTATTTTTCAGTGAGCTAGTTTATTTGCTCATGCTTTGCTCTTAAGCATTAATGTTAGTGATGAATAAACCCTAGACAAATTTGTGAAACTATAAAATGACCACGTTGATACAGTCATTTATCACAGACTAACGAATGCAAATGCTTCAGACACTGTGTACAATTCAGGTGAATTACATTTGTAACTGATGTATTTATTAACCTTTCAGTTTTAAATATCTAGGCAAAAATCACTGTAAAGCTTTTTATGTAGTCTAATTTATGCTGTAATGGAATAAATACATGCAAACGTAAAAGCTCCCCTTAGGGCTTTGCGGGTAGTCGGTGTCCTTTCTTTATGAAATTTCTTTATTTTATATACAGTAATCTATATCGTTTACAATACGTAAACAGTGTTGTGTACATTCTTAACATACAGCAGGGGATTGAAGTTCTAAGTACAGTGTAATTGGCACATACATTTTAATGGTATTCATGATCAGGCTACAAAAGTTTGAAAAAATGCACTGTGCTTTGAAAACAGTTGCTACTCCAGCTGAAAGACCACATTTTCTTTTTGTAATGTGTTTGTACTACAAGGTTGAAATACACTTTGCTATTAAAAAGCCCAATTAATTGACTGCTATGTAAGTGCAATGGTGGTACTAGGTTGGGGAAGTGATATCACTCCCAAACCTGGAGACAAATTTTGGGGGCTACAGCACAGTTAATTTCCACTTCCTGTTGCTTCCATAAAGAAGCTAAAATACATTAATTAACTGTATCTAAAGTTACAGTTAAGTTTGCCTGAGTGTATTCTGATATTTAATATGTCAGATTCCTGATAGTTGGCAAATCTAAGGGAGGCATAGGGCCTGATTCTCCACTTACACCAGTTTATTGCCACTCCTTTGACTTCTGCAGAGTTACTGCAGAGTTACTTGCCAAACTCATAGGCAAGATGAGATGGATTCAAAGATGGTGTAAATTTAACTCTTCCCAAGCTACCCTAATGGGCAGACTATACCAGTTTAGACTCCCTTATGTTTATCTAATTAGGACCAAATTCTGCTGTCAGTTGCACCAGTGTAAATATGGAATAACTCAACTGTCCTCACACACACCTTGCCACTGTGCAGTTTGCCTTTCCCTTACTCTTTACACCTCATCACTGAATTTGGTCCACGGTTTGCAAGTGTGTTTCATCTGCTGTAACTTACTGAGAAGCCAGAAGAGAAGAATGCAGCAAGAAAAGCGCTTAACTGAATAGGGTAAGAATATATAAGTTCAGTGGACACTTTCCCTCCTCCCCCCAGTTTAAATGTACACCATTTCCAGTTTCCACTCTCACATCCGGTGTGGGTTTAAGTAAGTCTGTTGGAGCCTAATTAAGTATCAGGGAATATAGTGCTGACATCAAGCCTTATCCTAAGAGATGTGTGCATGCAAATTACATTGAGTTTAGTGGAAATTGTGTTCACCCATCTCCTTGTATGATTTGGGCCATAGGGTCAAATTTCAGCTGTGTTTACAGTCAATTAGTGATGACTGGCTCCAAGCGTAGTTGCTTAATTCTCATATGAGGAAAGTAAAAGCACTGACGCTGCCCGTTATAGCACATAGGCCATATAGCTTAGGGCTTCAAAGTCATCCTGATTTGGGGGTATGTTCTCTGTGGTATCAAGCACAGTAGACTTTTTCAGTCCCCCTCAAATGTTTGCTCTCTGTGCTTTCACAGCTTGATGTGACCTTGAGTATCTCAAAGGTTTCCTTGTAAACATATATAGGTGCCTATGTAATACCGACAGACCCTGGTCATTGATGAGCGGGATCAAACCTGGGACCTCTGAAGCTTAATACATGATCCTCTACTGGATGAGCTAAAAGCCATATGGCCCTTAATGAAGACAGTAGAGCAGACTCATTAATCTCTAAGTGGTCTCAGTGCCACTGATGGGACAGAACACCACACGCAGGAGGTGTGTGGGTTACACCTATAGTGTGTGCTTTGTAGTCACTTCAAGAGAGAGAAACTTTGCTGAGAACCCAAATAAGAGGAATGTCAATCAGTTTCTTGGCTACAAGTGAAGTAAATTATTACTTATTTCTGACAGCTCCAATGCTCCTCTGGGCACATATCAAGCATATAAGAAGGCACAATCTTTTCCCCGAGGAGTTTATAATCTAAGGGTATGTCTATGTTGTGAAGTTGTCGACAAAACTTTTGTCTTTCATAGGTACTTTAAAAAGCCGCCCCGCGGCAGCGTGAACGTGGCTTTGTCGGCAGGAGCGCTCTCCAGCCGACAAAGCTAATGCTACGCGCGGGGCTGGAAGTATTTTGTCAGCAAAAGTGACAACAAAGTACCGACAAAGAGTGTTTACACACGCTGACTTTTAGTGACAAGGCTGTGTTGACACAGCCTTGTGGCTAAAAGCTGCATAGTGTAGACAGGCCCTAAGGAAAGACAAACAAAAAGCGCAGTGGATGGGGAGAAAGGGAACAACACATTATTATTCTTGATTATTTATTTTGTATTGTGGTAAGGTCTACAAGGATCCCATTGTGCTAGGTGCTCTATAAGCACAGAAGTAAAAGGTGGTCCCTACCCCAAACCAGTTTACAGTTGAGTTAAACTGTTGTGTTTACAAATGCATATTATAAATAGAACATGACAATTATATCCATATTAGTCCGTAAGCATGACACTGTCAGTTTGCAGGTTTTTTTATTGGATCATAGAACTGGAAGGGACCTCGAGAAGTCATTTAATCCAGTCCCCAGCACCCATGGCAGGACTAATTATCTAGACCATTCCTGACAGGTGTTTGTCTAACCTGCTCTTAAAAGTCTCCAATAATGGAGATTCCACAACCTCCCTAGGCAATTTATTCCAGTGCTTAACCACCCTGACAGGAACTTTTTCTAATGTCTAATCATGATAGAATAAAAGGTTTGTACAGTCTAGCACATTGTGGATAGCTACCAGAAACAGTTATTAATATTCTTAGCTTTTTAGGGGAGGGTGAAGTAGGTGTGGCTCAGCAGTGACACCTGCTTGTCAGTTTGGAGTGGGATTACAATTTATGGAAGATGCTGAGTTTTAAATTCATCAAGGTGGTTGTGGTGACAAAAAGGCCATGGAAAGGAGGAGGAAAATATATACGTATACTGGTCTTACATCCACCTTCTCCCCACGCAAAACTTTGCCCTTTGAGTGTGCTAACAGTTTACAATTCTGAATGTAGTCCCCCAATCTTCTGGCATACCCAGAGGTATTTTTAAAATGATGTTTGTCTTTTCCTTTGCAGGTTAGATTGTATTTCTGTTTCTGCACAATTCTTCCAGTAGGTCACTAGGAAGGTGAAGGGACTCTGCTGACTCAGTAACATCCTTCAATTACCGTGAGAATCCAGTAACTTTCCTTTTCTGCCAGGGACTTCTTCTTCCCCTCGCCTGTTTTTTTGTTCTACTGAAAAGAAAGAAAAGGAATACATGCTAACCTACAAACAACAACAACAAAACTTACTTTCTAGGTGAGATGAAGAAGAGTATTGGTTTATCTTTTCCTCCAGCATAAGGTATGCTAAATAAAAACAGGGGCTGGTAAGTGTGCTTGCTTGAAAAAAGCATGAAAGGAAATCAAATTGATCGTAGTTTCAGAGTAACAGCCATGTTAGTCTGTATTCGCAAAAAGAAAAGGAGTACTTGTGGCACCTTAGAGACTAACCAATTTGTTTGAGCATAAGCTTTCGTGAGCTAGCGAGCTGTAGCTCACGAAAGCTTATGCTCAAATAAATTGGTTAGTCTCTAAGGTGCCACAAGTACTCCTCTGCATTGATTGTAGTGCTGACTCAGGGCGGTATCAACTAATTTCTTTTTTGATGATGCCATTTAGTGAACCTATGCTTTTATTCATTAAAAAATGTGGACACCGAGGGCTTTGCAGGGAGGGGCAAGATAATTACAGGATGGCTGCAGAGACTATGCAGGAAGCTACTGAGGAGGGAAGGAAGGAAGAACACATGCTCTCATAGTATTAGATTCTTTCCCACACACTTTAGAAAGCATTATCTGACTGTTCAAGAGCTTAGTCAGTAGCAGCAGATTATCTATCTGCTCCGGATTTGATTCCGTTTAGCTTTGCAGCCATTTGCACATGTGAAAAGTAAGTGCAAAATGAGCAAGTGGAAAATTCTGTTCTGGTAGCGTTTTACACCCAGTCCGTACAGGTCACAGGTCAATGACTATTCCAGGTACAGAGGTGGATCAGATATCCCACTCAACCCTGATAGAGGAAGAAGGGGAAGTGTTTGCTTAGAATTAGAGACACCTCCTGAACTTCGGGAGGGTTGTCTCAGATATGACATTGAATTTCACAGCTGCCTCTTATCTTTGTCATGGACCACACCAAGACTCTAGGTCCAAACAAATCCAAACATTGTTTATGGGAGGTAGTGAAGGAATGGAGAAGGGTGACAGAGAGAGATCCACATTTTTCAGCTTGAGGACATCTATAATTACAATGCATGTTTTATCATACAGGCCCATTGAAGTCAGTGGAGCTATGCCAATTTACACCAGCTGAGGGTCAGGAGGTTTTGTTTTGTGTTTATTGTATAAATAATGGTGGCAATTATGCTAGGTCAATAGATAGTACATGAAATACACATTTTAGGTGAGACCCCTATAAAATATCATTTAAAATCCTAAAATTCTGAGAACCCTGCAGAGTCATTTCACTATAGAAGTGGAGTGGTGCTTTATACAAATCCAGACAGACAATCTAATTCAAAACAAAAATTTCACATCTTCCTGTGAATTGGTCATGCAGTTCTCAGATGCTCTTGTCTATTTTTTAACTAAATGGTGAGGTCTGAGTCAGCATTTAACTTCAATATCTGTTGCTCATCTTAATAATCCATTCCAGAGGTGCTGTACTTGAATTCCTGCCTCACCTCCATGTCTCCTTCCAAAGCAGTTAAAGTTGTTAGGGTTGTCCTGGCTCTCCATGCCAAGGTGCCATTGGGAAAAGACCTTCTCAATTTAAGTACCCCCTACATGAGGAGATTTGCTTGAGTTCATCTGTTGCTGCTTTCACAGCTCTTTCTATACAGCTCAGTACATCTTTGACTAGTTATGCCCACTCTTTGTTGTTTTTCTTTGAAAACTTGCCCCAGCCTCTCAGGCCTTAGTGCTAGTTTACCTTGCATAGAGAGATCCAGACACACACAGAGCATTTATTTCACACATCTTGGCTGACATCAATGGAGGAGAAATAGTAGGAATAAAAAGGGGAAGGGAAGAATTGAGAAGAAGGAATATGGAA